CGGGTGGCGGCCCGGAGCCGGGGCGGGGGTCGCGGGGGCAGGGCTGTGTTTCCAGCCGGAATCCGCTCGCGCCTCCGGCCCCGGGCTCGAGGTGCGGGGTCTGCGCGGCGGGGGCTGCGGAGGAGCCCGAGCGCCGGCTGTGCGGGGACGTGCGGCGGCGGCGGCGGCGAGACCGAGCCGCGCCGCGTGCGAGAAGCAAAGCCGTCCTTATACTGACACCAAATGTCTTCGGGGAAAGCTGCAGGCGCGGGACGCTGGAGGGGGGAGGCGCGGAGGCGACAGACAGACCGACAGCGGCTGGTGAGCCCCGCTCCTCTTCAGAGAGCAGGAAGCCCCCAGCCTTGCGGCCACCTCCTTAAAATTCGGGGTCGTGCCTGGGGGTGGGTCCTATCCCCCCCCAGCAAGTGGGCTGCGTCATGTGTAAAAGGGGAGGGATCCCATGACTGACCACCCCCGTGTCCAAGGTGCCTGGTTGGCCACATTACACTTTGGTTTCTCACTAAGATGCTGTGAAATGCGAGGGGGCGGGGGATCCCCCATTGCTCCAGTGAGGGGCTGCCCATCTAAGGCCACCAGCTCTTAAAGGGTGAAGCCAGGCTAGAACTCCAAAGGTTCCTTCAAGGCCCAGGCAGCCTTCCCACTTCTCACCCACACTAATGCTTCTTCTTAATCTTCAAGACTTGACTGAAAGACCGCCTCCTCCGGGAAGGTTTCCGGGAGCGCTCTCAAGTGGAACAGATGCCTCTTACTCTGGCTGCAAATGCCCCAGCCTCACCACTTTCCCCTGGGTAGTCTGCACCACAGGAACCTGAGGGATCTGGGACCTCAGCTCAGCCCTCCCCCGTCCCCACGACATTTCATCTCCTTGGAGAATGTGTAGTCAAGGTTGGGAACTGGGCTGGGGCCGAGGTAGGGGTGGAGAGATGCTGAGGCCTGCCCTGGAGCCACTTGGTCTGATAGATGGGCAGTGCTTTGGAGGAATGCACACTCAGGTTTGATCCCCGCTCTGCCACTTCCTGACTTGCCCTTCAAGTCTCTGAGCTTTTGGTTCCTCATCTGTGAAATGAGGATAAAGCTTCACGCCTTGTAGAATGAAACCAGTCTAAAAAATGCTTAGCACCGTGCCTGGCTCAACAAATGTCTATCCCATCCCACCTTTTAATCCGTCCAGGGAGAAAAGACAAACTTTTGTCAGCAGACCACAGTGCAAAGTCATGTAAGCATACATGAGGCTAGGAGGTGTCTCATAGGTGTGGACTGAGCAGGCCAGAAAGCATCCACCAGTGGGATGGATGTATTTCAGATCAGAGTGGGCTTCAGATCAGGAGTCCTCAGGGAAGATCTCATCAAAGGCCAGAGGCTTACACTGGGCCTTGAAAGCTTGTATAGGATTGAGATAAGAGGTGAGAAGTGGGGCGGGGTGAGAAACCGCATCAACTAGCAGGGAGAAAGGACATACGCAAAGGCATGGAGATAGGAATAAGGTAGCACAGGCAGGCACTCCATGCCCTCACCGCTGAGTGCCCTGCTGGAAAGCCCAGGCCTGGGAGAATAAAAGCAATCTGGTAGCAAGACAGAGGGAAGATAGCAACCATTGCTCACTTTCTCTCCATTCTCCTCTGGCAACATTGATTCCATCAAGTTCAAAAGGCTGGACAGAACCTTGAGAAGCCACCAGATGGCAAATTCTCAGGGATAGATCCTTTCAGCTACAACCTTCCAAAGTGGCCCGCCCGCCCAGCCCCTGCTTGCATACCTGGGGTGACACAGATCTCACCACTTCTTGGGGCAGCTCCTTTGCTCCCTGGGCACCTCTGATCAAAGTTTTTTTTTATGTTTAAAAAGAAGTCTGACTCCTCCACGATCCTAGCTCCTTCCCTGTTCCTACAAGACTAACACCCCCTCCCCAGCCTCCTTCAAGCATCCACACTGACAGGAAGTCCTGCCTTATGTCCAACCTAAATGCTTTATGCTTTAAGTAAAGACTTCATTTGGGTGGCCAGGTGGCTCAGTTGGTTAGAGTGCTCGCTCTTAACAAAGTTGCCAGTTCGATTCCTGCATGGGATGTTGGGCTGTGCCCCTCCCCCGGCCCCACTCCCCACAACTCGATGGACTTCATTGTCCACTCCTTCACTCTTCTGCCCACCACACCCCACCCCTTGGCAAGGAGTGGGCTCTGTGGACATGGAGGGTGCAGACAGACTAAAGGGCACGATGGAAGTGGGGATGAGAAACGAGCCTCAAACCTGCCGGGGAATGGGACCGCAACTCTAGGTCTCAGCCAGAAGCTGTGGCAGTCCCCCCCGGAGTTCCTCACAGGCTGCAGGAGCTTCATTTATTCATTATTGCTATTTATACTGTGTCTGGTATTTGCAGAAGGTTGCAGCAGCCGCACACACTCATTAGGCTCCGCCATGCCCTGGGAGCAAGGGCCTGCCTGGAGGTGGGCGAGATGGACCCTGTCCTGGAGTCCCCTAGTGCACCCACCTAGCCACTGGGCCAGGCTCCCTAACCCCTCTTACAGGGACAAAGCCCAATGGGGCCCTCACTCACTACTCCAGCAGCCGCTGGGCAGCGCAGCCCAGGCTCACCTCAGTCCCCCAGGAGATCTTTCTAGCAATTGTAGTGACTGCAAGGGTAGGGAGCATCTGTCAATGGTGATAAGCAAACTGAGGCTGAAGGAAATGGGCAGGATTCCTGCCCCAGGACATGAGATGAGGTCCCCTCCAGGCCTAGAGATCCTACAATCAGACAAGCAAAGATTCCAGTATCCTCACAGTCCATATTGATTTCTTCCTCAAACACTTACAAAGCATTTAGCTGTGCCAGGCCCTGGTCTAAACCCTTGACAAATATTAACATATTTAATCCTTTCCATAATCTTGTAAATCATCGCTACTGTTTTACAGATGAGGAGCCACTGGCACAGAGAAGTTAGGCAACTTGCTCAAGGTCACACAGCTAATAAATGGCAGAGCTAGGATTTGAATTTAGGGGGCCTGGCTCCAGAGACTAACACAGGATTCTAACTAGGGTTCTGGATTCTAAGACTCGGAACTCTAAGAGTTAAGATTTCCAAGATTTCAAACTGCCAGAGTGGTCCCCACCCCCCCACTACAGGAGGGAGGAGCCTGGCCCAAGATATCCTCCCAATGGCCACCCCTACCCCCATTAGAGCACGTTCCCCCAGGCATGCACCCTGACCACCTAAGAACCAGGCCCTGGAAGCAGCCCACACTGATAGGAGGTAAAGATAGGGGAAAACCAATGGCAAAAGATTAACTTTAACATTGCAAAAGCTTTTATTAAGCATCAACCCAGTACCAGGACTGTGCCAGGGCTAGAGAACATTACCAGATGGAAAGGTCCGGAAGTGCTGAATGTGGGTGAAACAGGGAGGGGATCTGGAGTCAGGCATGGAGGGAAGGTGGGGTCACAGGAAGGGGAGGCACCTGGGAAGAAACCCCAGAAAGGATAAAGGACTCCCATATGAGTCCTTTGCATGACTGCAGTGCCAGCCCCTTCCCCACCCCAAACCTCCAGGAAGTCCACTATTATGGGCCTTGTTTCAGTGGGTTTTTCAGTGTGTGAATGTCAAGAAAGGAGATGTGGACAAGGCTGGCCCTGGTAAGCCAGGCCAGCGCTGGGCAGGTAAGCCAGTCCATCCCCCAACTGGACTAAGCCTGCAGAAGCGGAAGTCAGAGCCAGGGGGGCCTGGGAGGAAGCTGGCATTCCCTCAGAGTTCTGTGGTGACAGGAATCCCCCCAGGCAGGAAGGATGGGGGTGCAGCGGGTTACCTTGCTGAGGAGCAAAGAGCACCCCTCCCTGCTGACAGGTGCCCTTTTACTCCATTAGCCTGTTTAACCTTGGCACGGTCCTAGGTGAGAGGTATCATGAAGCTCATTTCACAGATGGGAGAGCCAGAATCCAGAAATTAAGTCAATTGCCCAGGGTCACACAGCTAATGAGCGGCAGAAACTGGATTCTATGCCAGAGTGAGTGAGTGAGTGTGTGGGGGTGGAGTGGGGGAGGGATGAAAGAGAAAGTGAGAGAGAAAGAGCGTTCTCCCACCTGCCCAGGACAGGAGGCTGGGGACCAGCAGACGGAGAAGGGACAGATCTCTGGACACCCAGGTTCCTGCCAGGTGGGAGGTCCCTGACTCTCAGCCAAAGGAGGCAGTTGATGCCCTAGAAGCTTCCTGGGTGGGGCTTGAACAATCCAGTCTGAGTGCATCTGGAAAGGGATGCTGGGTGCCCAAGAGTCTGCAAGTGGCAAGCGGGGTGGGGCAGCAGCGAGTTTATTCCAGCATGGATGTCAGCGAGGAGAACTGCAGCAGGGAGCTGCCCAGACCCCCACCCCAGACGGAAACACCAGAAGCACCCCTCACTTCTGACTGGCACTGGACAGTTAGCACATCATCTCCTTTGGGCCTCACAACATCCACCACACACAACCTGGCATTCAGTAGGTGCCCAATAGTTGCTGAGTGCATTTCTTGAATGCCAGTGCTCCGAGCAGTCATTTCCAGGTCCATTTTACTGATGAGGAAATTGAAGTCACAAGGGGTGATATGACACGCCAACAGTCACCCTAGATGGTCACTCAGTGAAATGTATGAGCCACCTACTATGTGCCAGGTGTTGGATATACAGAGACAAATGAAACCCAATCCAGCCATGGTCTAGACAACCCAGGTTAAGCACAGTAGGAGAGAAGTGGAGGCCCCCAGAGGAAACTGTCATTGCTGGCAGGGGACAGATGAGGAAGGCTTCACGCGCAGAATGACCGAGTAAGGCTTAGAGGGCCGGTGAGAGCTCTCCCAGAAGACCCCTGGAGGAAGGTCATCCCAGGCAGGGGTGACAGCAGGAGCAAAGGCCTAGGGGCGTG